CAACCCAAAATCAACCCAAATCAACTGAAATCAACTGAAATCAACCCAAATCATCCCAGAATCAACTGAAATCAACCAAAATCATCCCAGAATTAACCAAAATCAACCCAAAATCAACCCAAAATCACCAAAAATCAACCCAAAATCAACCCAAATCAACAAAAATCATCCCAGAATCAACCAAAATCAACCAAAATCACCCAAAATAAACCAAAATCAACCCAAAATCAACCAAAATCAACCGAAATAAACCAAAATCAACCCAGAATTAACCGAAATCAACCAAAAATCAACCCAAATCAACAAAAATAAACCCAGAATCAACCCAAAATCAACCCAAAATCAACAAAAATCATCCAAAATCAACCCAAATCATCCCAGAATCATCCAAAATCAACCAAAATCACCAAAAATCAACTGAAATCAACTCAAAATCAACCCAAATCACCAAAAATCAACCCAAAATCAACCCAAAATCAACAAAAATCATCCAAAATCAACCCAAATCATCCCAGAATCATCCAAAATCAACCAAAATCACCAAAAATCAACTGAAATCAACTCAAAATCAACCCAAATCACCAAAAATCAACCCAAAATCAACCCAAATCAACCGAAATGAACCCAAAATCAACTGAAATCATCCCAGAATTAACCAAAATCAACCGAAATCAACCCAAATCATCCCAGAATTAACCGAAATCAACCAAAATCAACCCAAAATCAACTGAAATCACCAAAAATCAACCCAAAATCAACTGAAATCAACCCAAAATCAACCCAAATCAACCGAAATCAACCCAAAATCAACCCAGAATCAACCAAAATCAACCAAAATCACCCAAAATAAACCGAAATCAACCCAAAATCAACCAAAATCAACCGAAATAAACCAAAATCAACCCAAAATCAACCAAAATCACCAAAAACCATCCAAAATCATCCCCAAATCAACCAAAATCATCCCAGAATCAACCGAAATCAACCGAAATCAACCCAAAATCAACCCAAAATCAACCCAAAATCAACCCAAATAACCCAGAATCAACCGAAATGAACCCAAAATCAACCGAAATCACCAAAAATCATCCAAAATCATCCCAGAATCAACCAAAATCACCCAAAATAAACCGAAATCATCCCAAAATCAACCAAAATCAACCCAAAATCATCCAAAATCATCCCAGAATCAACCGAAATCACCAAAAATCAACCCAAAATCAACTGAAATCAACCGAAATCAACCCAGAATCAACCCAAATCATCCCAGAATCAACCGAAATCACCAAAAATCAACCCAAAATCAACCCAAATCATCCCAAAATCAATCAAAATCATCCCAGAATCAACCGAAATCACCCCAAATCATCCAAAATCTCCCAAAATCACCCGAAATTACCCCAAAAGTGGAATCGGTGACATCAGAAACCACAAAAACACCAAAATGGGACCAAAAACCCCCAAAAACCCCAAAACTTCACCTGGGACCTCCAAAACCCCTCCAGGTGTGTCCCAGGTGTCCCCAGGTGTGTCTCAGGGGTCCCCAGGGGTGTCTCAGGTGTCCCCCG